GAGAAATCAGCAACCCGTTGACAGCTGCCCTGCGAGGTGAGTACTCCAGAGCAGCCCCTGGGCTGCCAAACTCGGGGTGGTGGGTGCTCCCTGCCCACAGTGAGCCACGGCTGGGACAGGGCTGAGCCCCCACATCATGGTCTTGTCTCTGGGGGGGGGGCTGCAATGACCACCTGATTAATTAAACGTGGCACGTTGAAGGACAGGGAGGAGTAAACGCCAAAAATCACAGTTTTACAGCTGGGTTTAGTGAGGCTTTTGCTGCCGTGGGGTTGGTTTGAGTGTCTGCTGCAGGGTTGTGCTGGTTTGTAACTTTTGCTGCCTTGTAAGAGCTTCTGCAGTGGTTTTGTTGGGTTTTATTCAGCCCCTTGTTGCTGACAGAGTTGCTTCTTGGGAAGAGAATTGAGCAAATCATGGTGAAAAGAGGTAAATAATGATATAAAAAGGACTTCAATTTGTTTCAGTTGAGTGGAATGAACAGTGATTTTGGGGGGAGCTGGAGCAAACCAGCTGGAAACCACGGTGGGCTTGGGAGGGATTGAACCTGGGCAGGAGCTCGGGCTGCACCAGGAGGGGTCTCACAACGTGAATTTTCGGGGGTCTTTTTAGGGGAATTTGTTGAATTTGTACAGTCGACACCGGGAGGCAAAAATTAGTCATCATAAAGGAGCAAAAATGACAATGGGAGTGGGTGAATCAGTAACTGCACTGGGTCTCTTTTAGATTCAATTGACACTTCAGTTTTGCAAACATTAAAACCTTCACCAGCCCACTGGTTTCTGGCTCAGAACTGGGTTTGGGAGGGACTGAACCTGGGCAGGAGCTCGGGCTGCACCAGGTGGGGTCTCACAAAAGCTGCTGCCCCTGTTGGTTCGCGGTGCAGGGAACCAGATACTGCCGGGGCTTGGGGAGCCGGAGGGGGTGAAAAGGGTGGTCTGGCGGGTTCACCCTGCCCTGGGCCGGGGGGCTGCTGGCCGTCCTGTGGAGCGGGCTCTGGCGGGCACTGGGGTGAAGAGTTTGGAGCGGCCGCCCCCGGTGGCTCTCACCGGGTCCCGGCCCCGCGCAGCCCCATCGCTCATCGCGCCGCATCGGCCGCGGGGTCGGGGAGGGGGGACCGGAGGAATGTTCCCGTCAGGTGGGACCGGGCTTGGAGCCACCGGAGGTGCTCGAGGTGTCCGGGGCAGCGGGGGGATGGCATGGGCTTGAAGGTCCCTCCCGTCCCAAACCATTCTTGGATTGAATTGATGCAATCCTGCAACCCGGAACAAGCACACTGCTGCTTTTCTTTCCGGTCCCTGGCTCATTTTGCAAGCAGTGACACAAATCATCAGCGCTCAGTGCCCCAGGGCTCCAAACTGCTGGGGCAGGAGCCGCTGGGCACAATCCCCCTCTCTGGACTGTTCTCTCCGTATTCTCTACAGTCTGATACAGTGCTCCTGTTAAATCTGCACTCAAAGAGGTTTTTTTTCCCCCCAGCGATGCCTCAGGTTCAAGATGCGGCTTGTCCCGGTCAGGAAGGTGCCTCTTCTAACTGGAATGGTGAGAATGCAGAGGAGTCCCTGAGTCTCTGGGATGGATCAAAAACAAGGAAGACCCTCAGAAAACCCCCAGCTGCTCTGGTGTTGGGTGGGGGGATGTGAGGGCTGGGCCTGCTCAGCACAGCCCCGTCCTCACAGCCAGTGGCTCTTTCCTCCTCCAGGCAATTGGTTCAGATCCCGCCGAGGGCTGACTGTGCTCCTGGTGCTGTCTGTGCTCCTGAACGTGGTGGCCGTGGCTGTGCTGGCAGGTAAGGGAGGAGCAGCTGCCTCAGCACAGAGGCAGCTCTGGGCACAGGGCTGGGCTCCCTGTGGAGGGGAATCGTCAGATGTTCCCTCTTTGTCTCTCCAGGAAAAAGTCATGGAGAGATTCCAGTTACACCTGAGGGTCCACAGTTTCTGGCCTGTCCCGAGGACTGGGTCGGGTACAACAGGGTCTGTTACTACCTCTCAGTGGACTGGAGGACCTGGGAGCAGGCTCAGGATCAGTGCTCTGAGCTCGGGGCCTCCCTG